GCGTTTCGCTGTACTCCTGAAGGGGCTTTTGAAAGCAGGAGGCTTTCGCCAGGTTTACAGCGCTGCTCCACGCGGGTCTTTCAGGATCCCTTCTGGATGCGAAGCTCTTGCTAGTAGCCGGGAGAGTAGCGACTCGATGCACGGTGGCGGCCTGTCCTGATAAGCAAGGGTCCGGCGGCCTTCTCTTCGCTACTGCCCCGCTGGCTGGTCGCGCAGCAGCGTACCTGCGTGCCAAGCAGGCCGTTAGTTAAGGAGCATAGAGCAGAGTGACCACCATGAAAAGCTGTGTCCAGCACTGAGTTTTCTACACTTACAGACTGTTCTTTGCATACGGACTGCAGAATAGTCAATAAGTGAAGCCTGAATTTCTGCTGTTTGAGGTGCTGAGGCTCAGCCCTACAAGGTTGACAACTTTCATCCACTGTACAGCCTTTTATATCGAATAAAACAGGTCTTTCTTGGGAACTGGTCTTTATAGGAGACTGTAAAGGATATCGTGCCTTAAATTTAGGACCATCACAGTCTTCCAAAGGCATGTGTTTTTGTTTGGAGGGTTATTCTGTACCACAAAGTGTATTGTTTAAAAATCAAATTGAAACAGTCTTACAATTTACAAATATCTTGTACTTCTTTCCCCATATCAAGAAAATATTATGATAGTTGTGTTGCGTAAAGCAGTAGTAGAAATTACTAGAAATTGGTACTGCAGTCCTCAAATAGGAAGCAGCAGTAATAGTAGTTATTAATCACTTTTAGGAAGGAGTATGGCTTACTATGTTGATGGTGTCATTATATTCCTCCTTCGTTTTGTTCCTCTACTCAGAATGAACCGGTCCAGAAATACGTTCAAGAAGTGATCACTCGAGACAAAGCAGCTCAAAGTCTGCGACCCTCCTTAGGAAGCACTCAGCGAATCATTCAGGAACTCCGTTCTTCCAAGCAAGTGAAAAGGAAGGAAAACCGTTATCGTGTAATAGCCAGCCATCGACCTAACTGCACTGAAACAGTTGCACCTGTCATAAATGGCGAGGCATCGATTGATGGTGACAGATCAGACTCTGAATCAATGGAAGATGCTTCACAAAAGGAGAGCGGTGCCGTTGATAAGAGTTTGGACTGCTGTGGGAAATTCCAGTTGTTTGATATTGAACAAGAAGAGGAGGTGGTAGGAGACTCCAGTGTAACTGCTGCAAACCCACAGGTCAGCAAATGAACTTAGTGTACTTGAAGTACTTTGATATCACTGTTGACTGGTACATGTGGGCAAACTGACTGCTGTGGAAGTTTTTTTTGCGTTGTAAGTATCCCACTGTTTAATATGAGCTTTAACTAGATATTTGCAAATTGGAATATTGTAGAGGGAGTAATTTTCATGAGGATCTTTAAGTGCACTAATGTTGTTGAGACAGACAGCCGTGTGGAGTTGGCTGCTACAGGAAGGGCTTGTACCACCCTGGTTTTTCTGTACCCTATTCTGATGTATAAATTTTCACATTCATCCATCAGGTGGATCTCTGAGGTTTTTGATTAACTTCTCTACCTAGAAGAGAAAAAAATCTAATACAATGTCTTCTCATCCACCCAGTTGCCCTGGAATGTCACTTGTAGGCAAGATTCACTAAAGGAAAAGATACTTTTGAGCCTCCCCTTCTCAGAATTCCAATCTATGGTTTTACTGTATGTTTTGTTTTTAGCAGAACTCTAGGTGTCTGACAGGCTGCTTGAGCCCCTACATCCTGTTTTCATTGGTATTATGAGTTAAGTTTATGTTTTCAGTTGGAGGAATATCTGCTCAGTATCTAGAATGGTTTTAAGTATGAAGCAGCTCTGCCTTCTGTGTAGGTTTGCCCTGCATACAGAGTGTCATGAAGATTTTGTATTAAAGAGACTCATAACCATGTGGAAAAGGTGGTGAGAGGGCTGTGTATGCTTTCTTTAGTAGTTCCTTCACTGTATGGAAGTACACATGGATGCTTTACTTACGCAGCTCTGAGGAAAACTTAAATGCTTAATGTTAAAAGAAGATACTCGGGTGAGGAAAAGCCCAACCAGCTTCAGCGTTTCTTATGGGTTATTTCAGGGCTTTGCCATCAAACTTTAGTATGAACTCTTACTTTCTATTAAGCAAGTAGTTCAGACAGACATTTGAGATCTGTTAGTTACCTGTTCTCTATCACTCTGTTGATTAGAAAAACAAATGAAACTGAGGTAGCATCAGAATTTTGCTCTATTTTAGAGCTAGCGTAAGTGTTGAAAGCAAGAAGTAAGCTTGCTTTTTCATTCTGTAAGTATTTAGAAGTGAATGAAAGGCTGGTCTGTAGCTTTTCCTCAGAATTACTTAAGTAGTTCGGGAGACACTGCTATGAATTGGAAAAGATACTCTGAAAAGTAGAAAAATTGGCAGCAAAAACCTGCCTGTGTTAGACTTTCAAGTGCAGGTCACTAAAGCAATACATTGCAAATAATTTATTAGGAAGGAGAAAGCATGAAGAAATTTCTTCTGTATTAATGTTGAAGTGAGGAAATAAAGGAAAGAAAAAGCCTATCTGTAGGGCCTGTCAGCCTCTTCCTGTTAATCGGTCACATTTCCATTGTTTCTCCTGCACACTTTGTATACTGTAATCTGCTTGCATGTTATCAGTGCTAGTGTATGCACATCTTTCCTGCAGTGTTTGCAAGTGTAATGCTCTACAAAGCACAGGCTGTCTTAAAACTCATCTTTTCAACCAACATGTCGTCAGAAACAGATGAACAGTTCTATGGGATTAGTCATAGCCCCTTCAATAGTTTCTGATGAACTTGTCCCAGAAGTTTTCTCCTATTATCCGAAACAAGGCATGGCTGGCTGTACTAAGTTAATTGGAAAAATCTTTGGTGTCTTTCTGTTCTAGGTTGCCAATGTTCCAAATATCAGCGTTCCAGTGGGAAAGTGCTTTGGTCTAAGATTGCAGAATGTCACCCTTAGCTAGCTGTTGGCTACTGTCTACAAAGAAAACTGTTGACTGTAACTAAGACTTCGTGTGCGTGGCTTCAGTGGAAATATGCACTTCTTTTTATTTTTTCTCAGCAGAAGACTGATCCAGATGTGATTCTTTGCAATGCAGTAGAGATGATCCGTGAGCGTTTAAATGTTTCTGAAGATGGTAAAAAAGAACACCGTGAGAAGGAAGATGAGTATGTTTATGACATCTACTATATGGAAACATCAGCCCCTGGTTGGATCCAAAATATCCTTTCTGTACAGCCCTATAGAGAAGACTATGAACTGGTAAGGATGTGGGAAAACAGATCTTTCTTAAATAGAAAGGTCACAAATAAACATGCTTAAAGTCTTTTCGTTAAAAGTTGTAACTGTCAGTCCTGTGTTCCTCCATGTGACTGTTGATTCAAGCAAATTATGCTATGACAATGAAAACTGAAGGGATAGTGCTCATGAACTCAGAAGAATTTGTCTGGCTTCAAATTGCCAAATAAATTTTGGCACACAAACGTAAACTTAAGTAACTCACATCTCATTTGTGACTAGGAGGCAGCGATTAAAATGTAGTTGTGAATACGGCTGGGTAAAAAAAGGAGCAAGGGGGGTCACACAGCTTTTTCAATATTTGAGGACTTGACTTTAATCTTAATACGAGATATTTTCTTGTAATGGAATTGTCCTTCAGAGACTGTGGAGTTAGGAAGTTAAATATAAGCTTTAGTCTTTCATTGTATAGCTACTGTGATCAATAGACTTGCGTATCAGGAACCTGAAGCTGCTTTTTTTTTCTCACTGCTGAAGTGAGTAGGATTAATTTAGACATTAACCTTGGCATTTAAATGCTGAACTGGAACATTTAAATGCATGACTTAACTGATTTTTCACCTAAAGCAGATTGCTATGCTATGGTGAATATACTGACAACACATTTTTCTACAGTGTGCTTTGTGCAACTGTTGAATAACTTATGCTTGCAGTAGGTAAGTATCTCTTGGCTCTTTATGATCTGTATAGTATTGTATAGGCGGATGAAAAACCACTTAATGCCGAGTGTCTGTATTTATAGTGAATGCTATGTTTTGTGTTGACATGCAGGTAGATGATGATCATATTCCAGGGGAAATATATGAAGATGAAGATGATGAAAATGATGAAAATAACTGGCGTAATGATTATCCTGATGAAGATGAATTCTTACCTGAGGAAGATGGTGATGGAGAAAAAGGTATGCCTGTCATAAATATTGTTTGCTTTCCTGCTGTGCACATATAAATCCCATCCATTTTTACATGCCGTCTTTCTAAAAAAGCAACTAACTGAGCACTGCTGGCATGGTGTTTTGCTCTTATAATGGGTTAAATCTGCTTAGAGAAGGATCATCTTTCTTGGAACTAGAAGGGATCTTAGTGTTTTTGCAAAGTCAAAATTAAGAACGTCATTTCAGGCGGCTGCACTTGCCAAGGATTGCTTGTTTTGAGAAGGAATAGATGACTTGGTTCCACATGCTTGTGAAACACTGCCTCTGCTTTCTTAACTCCCCATCTCAGTGCACTCCACAATTCAAACCTCACCCAATACAGAAGTTGTTCAGAATCTGTTAGTTACTCAAGAAACTTAAAATAGTCTGATTAACCTAATTGTTTAACTAAAAAGAAGGGATAATCTAAAAGCGTTGATGTTCTTTATTTAGAGTCTGAAGAGAGCTTCAGTGATGAGGACCAATGTTACAGAAGAAGAACATGGAACAAATACCGGCAGGAGGTTCTACAGGAATTTGGATATGATGAGATCCAGGATTTGGATTCTGACTAACAGCCCTTTTTTGAAGATTAAATGCACACTGAAGATGTGTTCGTAAGAATGTTGAACTAAAAAAACAAACAAAAAAAAGCCACAAAAAAACCCTGGAAAACCACTTTCCTGTAAAAGTTGTGCTCATTGGGACAGCAGGAAACCAATCTTTACATGGATGAGCTTTAAGCTAAATTTTTGCCTGTCTGGCCTTCTGAAACTGTTGGTGACTAGCATGGTTCACTGTAATGCTTACTGACGAGGCTTGAGTATTAGATACTAGATTGGGATTCCAGTAAATGCTAAAACCTTTTACTATCTGAGCTGTTACTATCTAGGCAGCCAACTTCAGCTGGTAGATATTAAACAGATGGGTGTAAATATGCAACTTGACAATACAAATTTTCATTCCAAGCAAAAGATATTATATGCTTTAAAATAATTTTTCTGCCCATTCTGTGATGATGAGGTTCTGAAGGAACA